GGTACGTGCGTGCGTGCGTGCGTATGTGCGTGGGTACGTGCGTGCGTGCGTGCGTATGTGCGTGGGTACGTGCGCGCGGGCGGGCGTGCGTGCGTATGTGCGTGGGTACGTGCGTGTGTTCGTGCGTGCGTATGTACGTGGGTACGTGAGTGCGTGCGAGAATACGAACATTACTGCGTGCGTATGTACGTGGGTACGTGCGTGCGTGCGTGCGTTTTTGCGTGGGTACGTGCGGGCGTGCGTTTTTGCGTGGGTACGTGCGTACGTGCGTGCGTGCGTATGTGCGTGAGTACGTGCGTGCGTGCGAGGATACGAACATTACTGCGGGCGTATGTGCGTGGGTACGTGCGTGCGTGTGCGTGCGTGCGTGCATGCGTGCGTGCGTGCGTGCGTGTGCGTGCGTGCGTGCGCGCATGTATACCGGATGACTCACTCACTGCGTATTGATGGTGCTGGTCACGGAGACGGCGTCGCCGTTCGCGTAGACTGACACGTGCGACGTGCCGGCATCGTTGGACGTGTAATTGAAGCTAGTAGGCTCGTACCAGTCTACGTCGTGCGTCGTGTTGTACCAGATCTTGCTGCGGATCGCCTCGGCGTAGTCGTCTGCCGTCATGTTCGCAATCAGCTGCAGCAACGTTCGCGCGATATAGTTTTAGAAGGCGATGACGTCACTTTCGAAATATGACGTCATACTAGAGAACACTTACGACTTAGGTAATCTCTCGGGCGTGAGAGATATTGACTGCGCATGTGAGAAAGCCTGGGCGTAAGTGAAATCACGCGATAAAAAATCATCACATGCAATTAATAACGTAATTAATCACGTAATTAATCATCTAATTAATCATGTAATAAATCATGTAATTAATCATGTAATTAGCGCATTTACGTTGACGCGTATTAATTGGATCTCGGCATCATGCTACACGGTGCTCACCTCGATGTTGTCGATGAAGTTCGGGTCGCCGAGCGCCGAGCGTTTGGAGTAGCCGTGCTTGAACGCCTCGGCAATGAGGTGCAGAGTGTCCAGTCTAAAATCCTGGAAGCTGTTCGGTGTCAGTCTGTAACCTGGTGAGGGAAGGGGATGGTGGGATAGTAGGGATTGCGTGCGCGCAGATGCGGGCTGCATAAATACACAACACACACACGCACCGCGAACGCCACGCGACGGCACGCACCACGCACGCCCACGCGCAGCGCACGCACACACACAGCGCGCGCACTACACACACGCACACACAGCGCACGCAGAGTACGCAGCGCGCAACGCAGCACACGCAACAGCAACGAGGAGCACATAACACACAAAGCGCACGGCACGCACAGCGCACGACACACAGAAACGCAACGCACGCAACGGCATCGGGCACCCACGCACACACGCGACACATAAACAGCAACGCACACCGCACACATAACACACCGCACGCACAGCGCACACAGCACACATACAACACACACACAAACACACATCTACAGCACAGCACACACAACAGCACAAACAATACACACACACACACACAACACACACACACGAGGCACACACACACAAGCGCAGCCGCACACACACACACGCAGCAAACACAGCAGACCCAACGCGACGCACGCACGCACGCAGCGCGACGCACGCACGCAACGCAACACACACACGACACAACACACATACACGGCGCGCGATGCTGACTGCTCACTTACCCTCGAGGATGTTGAGTATGAGAGAGAGCACGGCACCGCTGGCGGGGGGCGGTGGGGAAAACATCGTCATACCATCTATCTCCACTTGTAAAGGCTCTGGAGTTTCCACCGTGTAGTCGGTCAGGTCCTCTAGCTCGATGATACCGCCTGCAGACAGATATATTATACAGATAGACGAGGGGAAAAAGAAAAAGAGAGAGAGAGAGAGAGAGAGCGAGAGAGAGCGCGAGAGAGAGAGAGAAATGGCGAAATCGAAAAGGAAGATAGAAAGCGTAAGAGAAATATCGATAACGATCAGGAAATAATGCAGACGAGGCGCTAAATCAAGAGACATAGAGCGCGAAAGGCGAGAGGGGGAGAGAGGGAGACGAAGTGAGAGAATGAGAGAGAGAAAGAGAGCGAGAGAGAGAGAGAGAGAGGGGGAAGGGAAAGAGAGACAGCAAGTTCAAATGCCACGACAGCACCATAGGGGCGACAACAACCAAGCGTGAAAAAAAGAAGCCGAAAAGCCGTTACCTTGCTCCTTGATCTCCTCCACCATCGTTTCTGCCAATTCTTTATACTTATCCGAGTCATTAGCAATCACCTCGAATGTATTGGCTAGTTTATCTCGTGTCATTACTTCTCCTTCCTGGTATAATTTTCCCGTCTTTGGGTTTGTGAACATTTCTCTGAAATCAGTGAGATGAGAGAACATATTTCAGACAGAATAACATATTAGAACGCACTTTGAGCCGATAAGGCACAGAAATACGATGTAACTACAGATATATTCATTACAAAAAGGAAATTTCCTATCATTTTTCTGGTTTTTGTCAATTGCATTGTGTGTAGCTCAGTTGTCAAGCGTGGTAAAGCGTGCTAAATTCGTGGTAAAAATGCGTGATAAATCGTAGGAAAGCGTAGTAAAGCGTGGGAAAACGTGGTAGAAAAAGCGTGGGAAAGCGTGGGAAAACGTGGCAAAGCGTAGTATAGCGCGGTAAAGCGTATTAAAAACGTGGTAGCGTGTGCCTACGACCTCGTGCATGATAAATCCCTCCTTCCTCTCCCACCCACCGGGCAGTTCCTCGGTCGCGCACGCTTACAATGCACCATATGATGCGCTATGGAGAAAAAGAAAAAAGCCAACCGCGTTTGCCTACGTCATTTCCGTTGACCTTTCGCTCACCTGATGACCCCTTCCTCCGGGATTTCTCCAATTGCGTCAGCTAGGGCCGCTCTGACGGGAAAACCGGAGCGACAGAGCGATATCACTCTCACAAACAGGTCCTTCCAGGGAAGTTTACCGAACTTGTCGTGTGCCGTCGCATAGCCGATGATCTCTGAGGGAACGGCTATCGCGAGGCCACCTATCGGGCGAAAATTGTACGAAACTCTTCAGCTATAAACATCCCCGTGATAAAAATTACACGAGGAGTGTATAATATAGAGTAAACGGTATGAGGAGAATGAGGTTACCCTTTGCCACAACTACCTCCAGGTCACCCTTGAGCAAGGTGTAGCACCTGTTAGCTCTCCCCGAGACCTTGAAGTATCGGGTTGGCGTCCGACGGGGGCAAGTCTGTCTCATGGGTAGGAGGGACTCTTTAGCCTTGAATGGCAACCCCCTAGAGATGGTGTCTCGATAAAAATACCGCTCTCGATCTGGAGTAGCAAACTCCCGATAACTGTGACATTATGGTCCACGGACGTATGGACGTGCCCTGATGTCCAGGAAAGTTTGCCCTAACTATGGGTTAAATAGTAAATATCATACCATAATGAATAAGCCAATACGAAAGTCATACCGCATCGCTCGTCGCGCGGGTCAACAAGGAGCGCGTCCCTCAGTGATCGCCGAACAAGCTGAGGTCGAAAAATCGGTTATTGAGTCGGCAAACCTTAACAGCCAAGCTTCAGATAGCAACCAGACCGAGATCCAATCTCAAGTTGGCCTAACTGAAGCAGCACCAACACCGCAGGCACAGTCCACCAACGCAGAAATAACCAACAGAAAAACAAGAAACCAGTGGACAAAGGATCAATACAAGGATGTGATGTGGTCCTATTATTTAGCCCAAGAGAACAACACTGATGGCGGGGTAGTAAAAGGTACATACACGATCTGGCGAGGCAGGAATCCAAACATCTTTCCAGCCACCAATTCAAATACTCTTGCTAATACCAGGAGGTAGATTATTATAGACAAGAAGCTCACCGATACTGAACTTGAGCAGATAGTGGCAGCTGTGCGAAAGCAAAATAATGCATCGCAACCAACACTTGTCCCCACTAAGCAACCTGAAGACCTACAACTCCCAGAGCCCGAGGCTAAACAAACACCGCAGCATACGGATACCAATGAAGCTGAATCAGTAGTGGATATGGAAGATCGAAGCTGCTTGAAATTCAGGCAATCCCCCTGGATCAACGTAGAAGCCTGAAAAAGATTCATCTCAACAAGGCAATACGGCACGATATTCAAGCCGCAAATCAGGCCCTCACCAATATCATCAAAGATAACTATCTAAACTTATCAGAAATCAATGAATTAATGTACGCAACTGCTGCTGTTATTGCTGAAGAGACAAAAGAGAGAGTCACGAAGCCCGCAGAGGAACCAACATGAAAGAAGAGAATCAGAACAAAAATTGAAAACCATCGCAAGGACCCCTCCATCCTTAGCAAAATAAAAAAAGATGTCACAACAAAACAAGTACATGCCAAGGCCAGGAGCATCTTATGCAAGAGCCGAAGGGATAATAAGACCATATGCGAGCTCGAACAAGAAATAAAGATGAAGCTACAGGCCAAAGCTCAGAGGTTGAGAAGGTTTACTAAGCGGAGTGAGCACTACTATCAGAATAAGCTCTTCCATAAAGATGCCAAAAAATTCTACCGGCTTCTCAACGAGCAGCAAAGCACCATCGAGGAGCCTCCCTTTAAAGAGCGACTCGATCAATTCTGGCGTGGAATACTGGAGGTTGGCACAGACCACAATACGAAAGCCACTTGGATCAAACAAGAGGAGGAAACATTCCAAAATGTAGCAATGGATGCATGGACTGACATTACAATGTGTGAAGTACAGCAGGCCATGAAGCGGACACACAACTGGAAGTCTCCTGGCCCAGACAAGCTGCACAACTTCTGGATTAAGCATTTAAGTGCCCTCCATAAACAACTAACCAGGGCCTTAAATGACACCATCAAGGATCCAAACAATAGCCTTAAGTGGTTGACATCAGGAATCACTTTCCTTCTTTCAAAGGGCAAGGATACAAAAGAACCTAAAAACTATCGACCAATCACTTGCCTGCCTACCACCTACAAGATTCTTACTGCTGCAATCAGCAACCGCCTCTACAATCACTTACAGAAGAGCGATATTCTCACAGATGAGCAGAAAGGCTGTAGAAGAGCGTCTAGAGGGTGCAAAGGCCAACTTCTCATTAGTAACATAATTGTGAGCATGGCAAAAAAATTTAAGAGGAACCTAGGAATGGCGTGGATTAATTATAAAAAAGCCTTCGACAGTGTCCCACATTCCTGGATTCTCGCAACCATGAGAATCTACCGTGTGTCACCAACCATCATTCAGTTCATGGAAGCTACAATAAAGAAATGGAAGACTGAAATGCTCCTCTTCACTCAACGAGGCTGCCTCAAGACAGAAGATATCTCAATCA